TGCAGTTTCAAACAGAAGCCCTCATTGGCTGATTCATGGGGAAGAGCACCATTTGAAACATTCTCAGAAAACAAATCGAAAGTGACTGTAATTTTTCTACACACTGCCACACAAAGCTGCATCTCCTTATTTACAGGGGTTAGATAAGCAAACAAAAGTTAGGGCAGGGGCAAGTAGATCGAGGCAGCATAAGCATAAATTCTTGAAACCTGATCTGCAAGGAGCTAGTTTTCAGTTTTATGGAAGGAATTTACTTATTTATAAATTCTCCCAAGTTTCTAAAGTGAGTTGTGCCAGCTCCGTTCAGATGATCCCCAGCCAAGAGTATCTGCACTTGGAGCTGGAATATTGTTTTCTCCTTGGGAAACATAACTGAGACTGGAACAAGATTAAATCAGCAAAATGCATGCACTGTACGCTTCATGATACAGCTATAACCAGATCCATTTACACCTAATAGCATTTTAAAATACTATTTGGAATAGCAAAAATATATTTTTTTCTACAGGACATTTACAGGACTATTTTCTATAGATTTGTCCAGAAGCAACTCTTATTACGTTTTATACTGTGGAATTTACTCCTAGTTAAATAGGCACAACATTGCATCATTAGTACCCAGGTATTCTTCCCCAAGGCCTCCTTAAAAATAGCTGAACTGTGACCGCAAATAAGCCTTAGCAGAGGAGATATTCCATTCTGCATTCTGCCTTCCAGAACAAAAAATCAGCATACTGTCACATGGAGCTGCATCAGCAGCCGGAGCAGTTTTCAATTATGATTAAGTGGCTCCTGCTCTCTGCAACATCTTAATCCCTGAGGTGAGATTGGCTCCCACACTCCTGTCCTTTCCAAAGACCCTCAAGATCTGGCTCTGCTGAATGGTTTGGGGACCCAATGGGGGAGCTTCATACTGGAAGTGGTTGATTAATTAAAACCTAATCCCACCTCCAGAATGGAGGCCTTTGAACTATGGTGCTGGAGAAGACTCCTGCGAGTCCCCTGGACTGCAAGGCGATCAAACCGGTCAGTCCTAGAGGAGATCAACCCCGACTGCTCTTTAGAAGACCAGATCCTGAAGTTGAAACTCAAGTCCTTTGGCCACCTAATGAGAAGGAAGGACTCACTGGAGAAGGGCCTAATGCTGGGAAAGATGGAGGGCAAGAGAAGAAGGGGACGACAGAGAATGAGGTGGCTGGATGGAGTCACTGAAGCAGGAGGCGTGAGCTTAAATGGACTTCAGAAGATGGTAGAGGACAGGAAGGCCTGGAGGAACGTTGTCCATGGGGTCGCGATGGGTCAGACATGACTTCGCAACTAACAACAAAATTCCACCTCCCCACCCCGTGAGTCCAGCTCCTGCCTTTCCCATCTGGTTTTAATGGTTCATAATTATGAATGATTTTACCGGTATCTGATGTGTGCCATGACTGTCAGTTTTAATATCTTTCCTTTTTTAATGATTTATGCTTTAAAACATTAAAAACATTATGCCCAGAGATGTTGGATACGAGATGGGCAGCAAATAAATTTTCTAAACAAACAAACAAACAATTTAAGGAAATGAGATCCAGCACAAACAAATGGAACCACCACGTTTTGCCCTATCAAAAGATTTGAAACATTTTCCAGGAGAGTCTCATATAGGGTACATTAGAATAATTTTAATATAAAATTGCTAAAGAATAAATGAGTATGGCCAGATCTGTTTTCCAATCCAGAAGTAGGGAGTGTTGATTTTATCAGCCAAAATATACTCCTAAGTCATAGACACAACTTGATTTCTGGGAACTGTGTTGCAAATCAGGGTGTGTACATTAGGCTCTGTACTTCTTTCATAGAAATGAACAGTGAACAAAATTATTCATCAATGTTTTATAGCCAAGCATGTCCAATCGAACTACTATCAGAGAATCTATGTTGCTTTAGCTGAACCTGAACAGACAATCAGATTAAGCTTTGTGCCTGTTGATGCTTGAATTAGGACATTACTTGAAGAACAGGTATTTAAGAAGCAGAACAGTAATCCTAACAAAGACAGAATATTTGAGATTTAAGGGTGAAGCCAAGCTTGCAGATAATATCCAGATGTGCTGTACTTCAATTGACAAAACTGTCCATCTATTGTTTTTATTGACTCCTAAAATAGGCCATGTGAACCAGTTGCCATTTTTCAAAACTGCTTCTAGACATAGTAATGAAAGAGATGTCAACATTCGCTCAAACTCAACTCCTTGCTCAAAAAACATGTCTGCCTGTCTGTCTGTCTGTCTTCACCACACAGTAAAATTCTGTCCTGGAAAAGTCAACAAAATATAATTCACTTAGCTAATAAGAACAAAAAAATCATATTACAATTCATGGGTCAATTCAGACTTTTATTTTTTATTTTTTAAAAAAAGTCATGAACTCAATAAATTACACAATAATTTTCCCCTTAATAAATTTTTCACAAAATAAAATTTACAATTTATAAGAGAAAGCTTTGAAACTCCTCTCTCTTTTGAAGTGCTGATGAGTTATTTTTTTTCTTTTATATTACGCTGATGGATTGTTCTGTAACTGCTACTATTGGTTTCAAAGACTTACAGGAAATCAAACCAAACACAAGCAACAACAAAAATCACACAGAGATTTTTAAGGGATAATTATTCAGTAGGTAATAAATGGAACAATCAAGTTGACATTCAATGCCAACATACTAAGCACCATGAATAGAAGTGACCAGGGAAGTTTCCCCAACTTTTAAAAATAAGAAACAAGTGCACTTTTAAAATTAACTGTGTTACTGGGCAATATTATAATTCGCTCTATTTGTAGATTCTGTACAGCACTAAAAGGTACACCAAATAATATATCCAAAACCTGAAAGACTTGTTAAGTGCCAAGAAACTGTATGTAGTAATCAGACTAGTTAGGACATATATGGTTGAGAGTTCCTGGTTTTTCTAATACATAAGGACTGTCAAGATCCTGCACTCATATTCTTTCTGTTTAACACAAATATTATGTAATTGTTCAGCTGATGGGAGATACAATGTCATTAAGCACAGGATAATCACAGAAGTCATCCTATATGCAATGCAATCTTGTCTCTAAAGGCACAAATGGTGCTTTAAAGAATGAAGACGTCTGTTTACTTTGAAACACTGATATTCTAAAAGTTTTAAGTCGAGCCCTTTTCTTATCATCTCAGTTAAAGGACGGACATTACCTGGATCCTCAGCTAAAACATTTTAGCACTGCAAACCAGACATATGCTACCCCATTGAAATTCTCTTAAAATATATCTGTGTTAATGTGACATTTCTTTAAATGTTATTTTAGCGAAGATTTTTAATTTGATTTTTTCCAAAATTGTATCAACTATTAAAGTAACAATCCTATGCACACTTATTAAACTAACAATCCTATGCACACTTACCTCACTAAACTCTGTTGAGACTTCTTTCCTATTAGCAAGCAAAGGATTATACTACGACTGATAACTACACTGAACAAAAAAACATGTATTTTTCAAGTTTTAGAAATAGATCCCCTTGAATGTCCCCTTGTTTAATGTGGACATAGCAGTTAAGGAGTAAACAAATACCTTTTCTTATCTAATTTTCAGATTCTAGGCATATCAAACAAGGATTTTAAAACATAATTTCTACAGTGCTTCTTGTAAGAAAACATAGGGCAGTTCACTTTCTGGTTTCAGTGCTGTAGCTGATGGCACCAGGACAGTTTCAACCTGTACAATAAAAAGTTCTTGACAACAAAATGAAGACATATAATACACGATGTCCTCTCAATTTACTCATAACTTGAGTTTTCATTTGTTTACTGCACCAGGTTTGCAATTCTTTTTAATTGTACGTATGAACAAAATGCTGCAACCTGCAAGTCAGTAACTTGGAAGAGAAGCAGGTTGCTGAGTGCTTCAGAGGAAAACAAAAACAGGGAAAGATTCACTTTAGCAGTACAGACTCCAGTTATGATCCAGTACAGTGGCAACAGTAGTAATGGACCATCAGTATGGCACAACGGTAGCGGAATGAACATTTAGGCTTCTGGTTCAACTACTTATACATGCCGCTGTCTGTACATGTGTTAGGAAAACAGTGGCCAACTTTCTATAATTTTCACCCAAACTGTATGGGGAACAGAAGTAATGGATCTCTGCCAGACAACAAACTAAATCTTGAGGGAACCATACTTGAAGATTTTCAGAAAAATCTTCCTTTTTTTAAAAAAACACCAAAGCTAGTTAAAAAAAACCCTGAATTAAAATAAGACTGAAGATCAAATACAAAATATAGGTGTGACCAGTAACTGTGGGTCTACCAAATAATCATTTGGTTATTCTTGAAAAATATAGCTAAATGTTATCATGGCAAAGTGTTGGCACCTCAACAGGAATGAGCCATCGGCATATTTAACACAACCTTCCGAACAAATGCAATCTTCAAAACTAAAATTTTCCCTACAGTGCTTGAATCAGAGGTTCCTTGTGCATCATATTGTAGACCTCATTTTGTCTCATCACATTGTTTTATGGGGAAGAAAAAGGAATGGACACAGAAACTGGCGTATCAAAGAACATGTCACAATCATTCAATTCTATGAATTCTATAAATTTGGGACATATCTTTTCCATACTGGAAGGGGTTACATCACCCATTGTGACATAAATATATACACATTTACTCTACAAAGTTGGTTGATGATTTGCATTACCAGCACGCAAGTCTTCTCCTTCAAGGACATTCAAGATTCTACAGTAAGAAATTGGAATGTTTGAAATATTCCATAAAGTATTTCTAGAAAACCATTGCCTAACTTGTTAATTGTCCTGACAAGTTGGGAAGCTTGTTATAGATGTAGCTTGGGAATACACATATTTGGATACTGAAACAAGAACAACCTTTTGCTTAGCTTACAAAAATAAAGAGAAATGCAATGGGGAAAAGATATGGAACCCTGACGCTTAAAAGGTGAATTAGTCTGGTTTTTTGCTTCTTTAAAATGCTGCACCATTGTTATACACATTCCTGCCAAAAAGGCAGAGTACTTCTTCACAAGTCACGTGTCCCAACTGCTGTCTTTAAAAGCAATTTTGACTAACCGGAGTTCTAGTTCAAAAGCATCTGGCCGGTCTTGTGGGTTAGCAGAAAGCATTTCCTTAATCAGCTGTTTCATGCAAGCATTCATTTTCTTTTTCTTAACAGGTATGAGTAGTTCCATTTTTGGATTTTCCAGCAATGCCTCTCCAACGGGTACAATCTCAGTCCCTTGTTTCACGTAACTGCCCAAGAGTTCTTTCTTGGTCTCTGTGTCTATGAAAGTGATCCTTTCTAACATTGCCCAGATTATAATCCCCAATGCAAAAATGTCTGCTTTGGCAGTGTAGTGACCTTCCCAAACTTCAGGAGCCATGTAGAAGTCTGTGCCACAAGCTGTAGACAGAAAACATTTATTTACATTCACAGGCTCTTCAGGATTTTGCCCCGATGCTGAACAAACCTTGCTGAGGCCAAAGTCTGCTACTTTCAAAGTAGGTTCCAAGTCACTAGCATCCATCCTGCTTTGAGAGATCAAGATGTTGTCAGGCTTGAGGTCACGGTGAATGATCTGATTTTTGTGCAGAAAAGCCAGGGCGCTGCTGAGCTGAAGCATAAAACTAGTGTTGGTCTTACGGCTGGGCTTTCGGGATAGGAGGTATTCATTCATATCACCTCCATCACAAAAATCCATCACAAACCAAAGATAGTAGGCACTTCTGGGATCAAAGGCAATTTCACCTTTCAAGGAGGTCTCTACAAGCTACAACACAAAGATATTTCAGGTATATATTGAACATACATGATTCAAATCCCAATGTACAGCACATTAATCAAACCGTGAGGCATGAATGACTATCCAAGGGCCTCCGAATCTAGGAAAATGCTGGCTTCTAAACAAAAAAGGAAATCATAGTTTGGAACTATGTTCATTTAATATCATTTTCCATTTGCTCAACAGAATTTTCTGTTCTTTAGTGTAAGGGATTCTCTAACATCATTTATGTCCGGATGCACTAGAAAAATTATATGAATGACATCATTTCATTCTCTCCTGCAAATGCCTATATGTGGTTTATAAAGCTAATCCAAACTACACTTTCATTTCTGATTTGTCAGCTAAAATTGTGTTTACATATTATGCTAATCCAAAATGTTATTAGTTTGGCTTGGGCTAACATTATTATTACTACTACTACTACTACTACTACTACTACTACTACTACTACTACCACCACTATTATTATTATTATTATTATTATTATTATTATTATTATTATTATTATTATTATTATTATTATTATTATTATTATTATTATTATTATTATTATTATTATTATTATTATTTTATCCTTACGGCTTATAAGTGATGGTTTATTGATGTTGTGTAAACCAAACCTTTATAGCTTAATAAACCATAATTGTCCATGTTCAATATATGCTAAGCCAAAACAAACAAGATGCAGGAGAAGGAGTGGCAGAACCTGAGGGTGGAATTAAAAGGAGGACTAGCATAGCCACAAGTGAACTAAGTCCAATCTCCTCCTTGAATGCCATGGACACTTATCTAATTCAAAGAAGATACAAATGATTTAGTTAAGATTCCTATGCATACGCTCTTTATCAATAAATCAATTTAATTGGACTGTCATGTGTGGACCTGGTCTTTTGTGCTTGACAGAAAAATTACATAATGGGCTGGTAGCTTGTTCAACATGAATTAGCATAATATGTTAAATGACAAACACTACAAACTATAGGTAGATATCACAGATTACCATTATGAACATAAATGCCAAATGTTAATTTAACTCTTGGTAATAAAACGTACTTAATGGACCACTGAGCACAACTCTTTATTTGTATAACTGTGACCAGACTAACCTGAAAAAACAATAAAATAGCACAGCTACAAAACAAAAGGCTTTAGCTTTTAATTTTCAAAGTTAATTTTAAATGTCCCAAGTGTATTTCTATATTCCATTAATGAAATATATATTGCTGAGCAGGTCTTTTGGCAATCTGCTTAAAAATAAATCTGGCATAAAAATAAAACTAATTTGTTTTCATAGACTTTCATAATTCTGTAGCATACTGGATGGGGAGGACAATTAACCTGAGAAGAACTTGACCTTGGCAGTTTAAGAAGAGACTTCTAATATATTATTTTAATAGCATTTAATTTTGATCTTACTAATCTCAATATATAATTGAGTTCAAAGAACAAAACAAATTTCATTAGAGTTGATCAAGCTATTTCTTTTTTTTTTTAAGTGGTCTCACATAAAAGCTATTAAAAGAATTATTAATACACCTTTTCCCAGTGGGAGCAATTTTTCCTTACAATGCTACAAAAATTATTTACCCGAGGTAAATAACCATATTTCTGCACTTAGAGACAATTAATTGAATGTCCTGGCTTCCAATGTTCTTCAGTGGAAGTGTACTCTGCTGTTTCCCTGAGGGTTCATGTTGTTTAGTGACAAGATTTTTGAAATATCTAAAACTATATCAAAAGCAAAAACTTATTTGCTTTTCCGTATTTATAAGGAATGGCAATCTCTATTTCACTGTTCGATAATCAAATAGCTGACTTTTTTTTTACCTTTAATTCAATGTCTCTTTCATTATTTACAACTTTATTACCTGTAAATAAAGTGAAGAACTGGAACCATGGGACATCTTCTGAACCATGCCGTCTTTTTGCAATATGCATTCTTCCAAGTGGATTACATTTGGGTGTTGGCTTTTAATACTACTAAGTGCCCAGAACTCACGCAAGGCTAATTCTACGTTCTCTGGAGCATGACATCGAATTTTCTTCACCGCAACACGTGCAGAGGTTTTCCTTACAACTGCTTCATATACCACACCATAGCTGCCACGACCAACCTCTCTTATTAGATCGTATTTTGGCTGGCTACTCACCATCTTCAAGGTCAAGGTGTCTATGGAAATAAAAACAAAAACTATAGCTGATTTTTGTTTTCACACATCTTAAGATAAAAATGGAGTTTTTGTTAATCCAGTCACTGTAGGTGACAAAATAATGCATGATTTATTGCTTAACATTTTGCACATTTGAAGCAATTAGTTTAGTCAAGAAACTATTATTTAACATGACATATGAATTCAGACATATAATATATCTATTCAACTGCTAGCTGTTAGAATGAAAGTCTTAAGCAGTTTGGTATAAGATCACTTGAAAATCTTTTTGCAGCTTTATGAACCTGCCTAACATAGCTCACCTGGCTGCAAGTATAATCTATCGTTTCAGAGAACAGGAGAAAACAATTCTGGTGCTAAGAACTACCTCATTGTAGAAAACATAACTGGATGATTTTAAATAGGAGTTTTACTGATCCAGTAACTATAGTTTAAAAATGTAATAAATGCTTCTATTTATGGCTAGCTTTAAATGTTTCTACCATTTTCTTCCTATATTGCAAGTCACCTTGAAAAACCTTTATATCCTAAAATGCAGTATGAATAACAAACAAAACCTCATTACTGGTACCCCACTTTGCTACTGGTACCCCCCAATAGGACAGTAAATAATGCTGATATGAATATATTTCTGTTGGTCTTTAACATTTGGTAATATGTAAAAATATTACAAACAAAATACTCAGCAACATTAAGAAAGTCATATAAAGATGCATGAAAGTATCAGGGCATATATACTTTAACAATCCAGAAATGGGCATCTTATTTTTTTCTACGAAATGGATAAGATTGAATAATAAGCTCAGTATAGGGGAAGATATGTTTTAGCTATCTTTTTCTTATAGCAGTAGGAAAACAATGCTGAGATCACAATAATCAAATGAAACAAGGAATGCTGCTAAATATTCTCCAATGGCAGAAAAAAAGGAGAATGTATTAATTATACACATAGCATATCTGAGCAGAGAGCTGTGTTGGGTAATTCATAGCTATTCAAATAGCTTTTCACAGCCATTGAAAGTTACAGAAATACATCATGACAATTTTAATGTATGGCTCTGCTTCTACTCATTCCCTTCCCCATTTAACTTTCACCTATCTTCATAAACCCATTTTTAAAATAAAAGTGTAAATAAACTGGGCCAATCTGTGCAGCAGCAAAACGTGTTTTCTGCATATATTTATCTAACGGACAAAATATCAACTTTCTTGCTCGTACCTTTGCTCAGTTCTGAACATTCTAAGTAGGATTGGCTAGAATTTTACCCACCACATTCTAAAGATAACAATGCAGGCTTATAGTTGTTATGGAAATATCTTCTTAGAGGCAAAATTATTCAACCTTCCCAACTGGCTTGATCCCACTGCTCAGTTGAACTCTCTGGCAGGCTGACCTTAGGCCAAGTCAAGCATATCATATTCCTATGAAGCAAAAGCAGCACCTGGGTGGAAAAGGTCCAAATTCTTCTACTCAGTTCAGGAGGAGAATTATAATAATAATAATGATAAAGTTGGAAGGGACCTTGGAGGTCATCTAGTCCAACCCCCTGCTCAGGCAGGAAACCCCTATACCATTTCAGACAAATGGCTGTCCAGTCTCTTCTTAAAAACTTCCAGTGTTGGAGCATTCACCGCTTCTGGAGGCAGGTTGTTCCACTGGTTAATTGTTCTAACTGTCAGGAAGTTTCTCCTTAGTTCTAGGTTGCTTCTCTCCTTGGTTAGTTTCCATCCGTTGCTTCTTGTCCTGCCTTCAGGCGCCTTGGNAAACTAATTTGTTTTCATAGACTTTCATAATTCTGTAGCATACTGGATGGGGAGGACAATTAACCTGAGAAGAACTTGACCTTGGCAGTTTAAGAAGAGACTTCTAATATATTATTTTAATAGCATTTAATTTTGATCTTACTAATCTCAATATATAATTGAGTTCAAAGAACAAAACAAATTTCATTAGAGTTGATCACGCTATTTCTTTTTTTTTTAAGTGGTCTCACATAAAAGCTATTAAAAGAATTATTAATACACCTTTTCCCAGTGGGAGCAATTTTTCCTTACAATGCTACAAAAATTATTTACCCGAGGTAAATAACCATATTTCTGCACTTAGAGACAATTAACTGAATGTCCTGGCTTCCAATGTTCTTCAGTGGAAGTGTACTCTGCTGTTTCCCTGAGGGTTCATGTTGCTTAGTGACAAGATTTTTGAAATATCTAAAACTATATCAAAAGCAAAAACTTATTTGCTTTTCCGTATTTATAAGGAATGGCAATCTCTATTTCACTGTTCGATAATCAAATAGCTGACTTTTTTTTTACCTTTAATTCAATGTCTCTTTCATTATTTACAACTTTATTACCTGTAAATAAAGTGAAGAACTGGAACCATGGGACATCTTCTGAACCATGCCGTCTTTTTGCAATATGCATTCTTCCAAGTGGATTACATTTGGGTGTTGGCTTTTAATACTACTAAGTGCCCAGAACTCACGCAAGGCTAATTCTACGTTCTCTGGAGCATGACATCGAATTTTCTTCACCGCAACACGCGCAGAGGTTTTCCTTACAACTGCTTCATATACCACACCATAGCTGCCACGACCAACCTCTCTTATTAGATCGTATTTTGGCTGGCTACTCACCATCTTCAAGGTCAAGGTGTCTATGGAAATAAAAACAAAAACTATAGCTGATTTTTGTTTTCACACATCTTAAGATAAAAATGGAGTTTTTGTTAATCCAGTCACTGTAGGTGACAAAATAATGCATGATTTATTGCTTAACATTTTGCACATTTGAAGCAATTAGTTTAATCAAGAAACTATTATTTAACATGACATATGAATTCAGTCATATAATATATCTATTCAACTGCTAGCTGTTAGAATGAAAGTCTTAAGCAGTTTGGTATAAGATTACTTGAAAATCTTTTTGCAGCTTTATGAACCTGCCTAACATAGCTCACCTGGCTGCAAGTATAATCTATCATTTCAGAGAACAGGAGAAAACAATTCTGGTGCTAAGAACTACCTCATTGTAGAAAACATAACTGGATGATTTTAAATAGGAGTTTTACTGATCCAGTAACTATAGTTTAAAAATGTAATAAATGCTGCTATTTATGGCTAGCTTTAAATGTTTCTACCATTTTCTTCCTATATTGCAAGTCACCTTGAAAAACCTTTATATCCTAAAATGCAGTATGAATAACAAACAAAACCTCATTACTGGTACCCCACTTTGCTACTGGTACCCCCCAATAGGACAGTAAATAATGCTGATATGAATATACTTCTGTTGGTCTTTAACATTTGGTAATATGTAAAAATATTACAAACAAAATACTCAGCAACATTAAGAAAGTCATATAAAGATGCATGAAAGTATAAAACAAAGGCATATATACTTTAACAATCCAGAAATGGGCACCTTATTTTTTTCTATGAAATGGATAAGATTGAATAATAAGCTCAGTATAGGGGAAGATATGTTTTAGCTATCTTTTTCTTATAGCAGTAGGAAAACAATGCTGAGATCACAATAATCAAATGAAACAAGGAATGCTGTTAAATATCCTCCAATGGCAGAAAAAAAAGGAAAATGTATTATACACATAGCATATTTGAGCAAAGAGCTGTGTTGGGTAATTCATAGCTACTCAAATAGCTTTTCACAGCCGTTGAAAGTTACAGAAATACATCATGACAATTTTAATGTATGGCTCTGCTTCTACTCATTCCCTTCCCCATTTAACTTTCACTTATCTTCATAAACCCATTTTTAAAATAAACGTGTAAATAAACTGGGTCAATCTGTGCAGCAGCAAAACATATTTTCTGCATATATTTATCTTACGGACAAAATATCAACTTTCTTGCTCATACCTTTGCTCAGTTCTGAACATTCTAAGTAGGATTGGCTAGAATTTTACCCACCACATTCTAAAGATAACAATGCAGGCTTATAGTTGTTATGGAAATATCTTCTTAGAGGCAAAATTATTCAACCCTCCCAACTGGCTTGATCCCACTGCTCAGTTGAACTCTCTGGCAGGCTGACCTTAGGCCAAGTCAAGCATATCATATTCCTATGAAGCAAAAGCAGCACCTGGGTGGAAAAGGTCCAAATTCTTCTACTCAGTTCAGGAGGAGAATTATAATAATAATAATGATAAAGTTGGAAGGGACCTTGGAGGTCATCTAGTCCAACCCCTTGCTCAGGCAGGAAACCCTATACCATTTCAGACAAATGGCTGTCCAGTCTCTTCTTAAAAACTTCCAGTGTTGGAGCATTCACAGCTTCTGGAGGCAGGCTGTTCCACTGGTTAATTGTTCTAACTGTCAGGAAGTTTCTCCTTAGTTCCAGGTTGCTTCTCTCCTTGATTAGTTTCCATCCGGTGCTTCTTGTCCTGCCTTCAGGCGCCTTGGAGAATAGCTTGACTCCCTCTTCTTTGGGGCAGCCCCTAAGATATTGGAACACAGCTATCATGTCCCCCCCTCGTCCTTCTCTTCGTTAAACTAGACATACCCAATTCCAGCAACCGTTCCTTATATGTTTTAGCCTCCAGTCCCCTAACCATCTTTGTTGCTCTTCTCTGTAGAGAAACCCAATTTCCTATTTCACAACCTGGAGGGGGATTGTCAGTGCGGCCCTTTACAACCCAGGCGCGTTTATTCAGAAATAAACCCCACTGTAGCTCGGCTCGGTCTAATCTACACTGTGGGCCTCGTCCAAGGGGGCTCCCAAAGATGCACCAAACGCTCCTGCACCGCCAAGCGGAAGGAGCGGGCAACGGGCCGGTGCCCGCCGGAAAGAAGCCGTAAACCTCCCATTTGGGGGTCGACATCCCAGCCGAGGCCAGCGGGGGAAACCCTTCAGGCACAGGACAAGGCAACGCCACCTTTAAAGACCCCAACCCGGCAGTCTACCCACCGTCGACCTCTGGCCCCGGGCTCGCCCTCGGTCGCCGCCGCCGCCGCCGCCGCGGGTGGCTCCCAAGCGCTTGGCCGGCTGCAGCCGCGAAGAGCGTCCCCGGCCGGCCTCATTCTCCACCGCTGCACCGGACTCGACAGCCCGGCGTCAAGCTAGGTGTGAACGGGCCGGGGTTTGACAGCCGCGGCGGGTGCATCTGTATTGGGACGCGGACGGCCTCCCGCAGCGACCCGCCGGGCGCGGGAAAGCAGGCGGCCGTGCTAGCGGCAGCCTCGCCCGCAGCACCAAGGCCGGCGGCACGGGCGCCCAAGGGCCGGGCCGCTCGCTGCAGCCTCCACAGGCCCAGGCCAGGGGCGCGCACCAGCTGCCCGCCGTGCTCTCCGGGCCTGTCAAAAGGCGTCCTCGCCGCCCTGGCGCGCCCCGGCCTCCCGAACGCGGCCGAGCGTCCCTTTTAATGCTTATGTTTACCTCAGAGCTGCCGCCGAGCTCTCTCCTCCTGGCCGCCATTATCGGGCTCCCTTCCCCCCCCCCTTTACTTCTCCCGGGTTCCCTGACACACCCCCTTCTGGGCCCGCCGCGCGCACCCTGAGGGGCGGGGCCGCGCTCCGGGAAGTCGGCCTCGGTCCGCTGCTCTGATTGGTTGCAGGAGAGGCGGGCCTTTGGCGTCCATTTCACGGGTTGGGGAGGGGAGCGCGGGGGCGAGCGCGCGCCCCTTCTCATTGGCTGCCTATCTCTCGCTCGCTCGCTCGCTCTCTCACTCTAGTCGCGTGCGCTGTATTAACCTCACGCTCTTGCCCGGGACCCTGCAGAGCGGGTGTTTGCGTGCCCGGAGTGTTGCATTGCATTGCATTGCATTGCGTTGCTTGCGTTGCTGCACCAAAATGCGGCGGGCCCCTTCTGACCTCTGCTGCGGTGCAGTTCTCCCACCAGCATTCCAGTATCTGAGGGGCTGCCACAAAGAAGAGGGCGTCAGTCTATTCTCCAAAGCACCAGAGGGCAGGACAAGAAACAATGGTTGGAAACTAAATCAAGGAGAGAAGCAACCTGGAATTAAGGAGAAACTGCTTGACAGTGAGGACAATTAACCAGTGGAACAGCTTGCCACCAGAAATCAGGGGCGCTCCATCACTGGAGGTTTTTAAGAAGAGGCCAAACAATCTCCTGTCTGAGATGGTGTAGGTTCTCCTGCTTGAGCAGGGGGCTGGACTAGAAGACCTCCAACGCCCCTTCCAGTTCTATTCTATTCTATTGGAACGGAGCAGGAGGTCGCTCGGAGTCGGCTGCGCCTGGCATCTCGAGGGCGATCCCGGACGATGCACGACGGATTTTCCGGGGAGGTTTGGGTCGTGATGACAGCTTGTTCCAGCGGCTGTCCTTCGCGCACGCAACCTCTCTCTCCAGGGAGCTGAGGGCCGTGTTTGGTGGCGCCTGCTAGGCTTTTCACCTCCTTTTGCAGCCCTCTCCCCAGCCCGCGCTGCCCCCTCTTCGACTGGTTTTCCCCCTGCCCAAAGCCTACCGTGGCTACCATCACCTGGAGATCTTCCTGCTGGACCTGTTTGCATCTCTCATCTTTGTTTTCCTTCCTCTAATTTAGTGTTGGTGCACGTTTGATGCTTAATGGTTTTACTGATTTAGCTTTAAAAAGACGAGGGAGAAAATCCGGTTTTCATCATAAATAGTTGGTTATTATTTTCTTAGCCTGGGGCTGATAGGTGGCATTTTTGGGTGGCTGCCTTTTCACCACACCAGGCCATGGAGATGCTTCTTTGTATGCTGCAGGGATGTAAAGGTTGAAATCTGATGGTGAGATTTTTCCCACACTTCTCTTCTGCAGCTGGAAAATACAGCAGTTTGTATTTTCCCTTAAAGGGATACTGCTTCTCATTTTTCATAACTGGTTGAGAAGAGATCTTATCTAAGATGTGGACAGGTGTAATGCTTTGGAGAGAATGCACCACATCTACCGTATGATGTGAACTATAGGGAGGGCCCACTCAAATGTAGGACTGTACGTTTTTCTCAAGAGTACCTGATTTGTTTTTTCTTTTCTGCCCCCTTTTGTGCAGAACTTTCTCAGCTATATTTTCCCCACAGCTCTGTCCTGCAATGTTTTAACAAGCCTGTAGAGGGCTGAGAAATCTGCATTTATTTTAACAATCAAATTTATGGATTTATCTATCAAATTTATATAGTTGCCTATCTACCCGAGGCAATTCTGGGCAGCACGTAACAAATGTGTAAAACCACAGATGTAAAAATATAAAAATGATATTAACAGTATATATTACAAAAACAGATATATTAATATTTATTGATAAATATAATTATATTTAGATATTTATGTACATTAATCTGGATCTGCCCATGTTAGAGTTTTTGATGTTAGACAGCATGGGCTTAGGGAGGTAGCCTTGGAAGTTAGAGGGTGAAATGTCAGATGCCTCATCTAAGTTCAGAGTTCTGTGCAAACACGCTGAAATATGCATTATAGAATTCCTCAGGAGCAAATATATTGTGAAGACAATGAGCATTGTAGCCACACGGATGGATGCTACTAGGTTGAGAAAGTTGACTCCAGCTGTAGAACTGGAGGGTACAACTGTTACATCTTTTTTCCTTCAGTTTCCAGAACTTCTAAAGATTTGCATGACTGGCTGGGAAATTCTTGAGAATTCTAGCATTTAGACCAGGAACATTTAGGCTCAGTGCATGGAATATTCAAATTGTAATAGAACTACTAAATGCTGAGATACCGAATTTCAGGCAAAATTTATTTTTCTGATGCAACTTCAGAAGTAAAATAAGGGACAGGGAAAGTGGCCCTCAAGGAACTGAGTTCAAGTTTGACCAGTGTATTTTCAAATCTTCCTCAGAAAAAGGATCCTAGAATCCCAAGATAGAATTGCAGAAATAATTGGTTTGCTGTTCAAAGGTTCACATGTTTTCAAAATCTTGCTGAATAAAGAGATGCTGATGTTATCATGTGGCTGCTGTTTTGTCCAGGAAAGTAGTGCTTTGCGATAAGAGTTACTTCTCCAATTTCATTAAAAACTGGGAGATGGTTGCTATTAAGAGAGGACAGAAGAGAGAGCAGGAATCTGGATCTATCATCTCTGCCATAAATTACATTTAACTTAAGTGTGTTTGTAAATATATAGCTATATATAAAATTTGTAACCTGCATTCTTAACTCTTGCCATAAAATTCAACTATTTTACTTAGATTGTCTGTACTCCATTGGAATTATGTTGCATTTATTACATTCCCTTGCTCTTTTGCTTTGCCCCCTTTTTCAAATTAAAAACCATGTTGTAGCTGAGGGAGTTTTATACCAAATTATTTGAACCTCTGAAGACTTAGGTGAATACATATAATACACCTGCTAGTATCTTTTGGTTTACAATTTGCTTGTCCAGAGACGCAGCACTTGCCAGAAGTGCTACAAATACAGTTAATCGGTTTTATTCTGGTATGTTGTCAGCATAATACTGCCTAGCCAAATTTTTCACACACTCAGGAAAAAGTGTGTGTATATGTGTGTATGTGTCAAAACAGTCTCCCCAGCTATCTATAATAGAGTTGTCATTAAGATTAGGTTGTTTCAGAATATCTGTCAGAAGAGGGCGCCTTAGAACTTCAGAAGGAGCTTAAGTTTGTGTTTGCCACAATAGAAAAAAGGCAGAAGAATCCTTTGGTTCAGTGTTTCTCAACCTTGACAATTTTAAGGCATGTGGACTTCAACTCCCAGAATTCCACAGCCAGCATTGCTGGCTGTGGAATTCTGGGAGTTGAAGTCCACATGCCTTAAAATTGTCAAGGTTGAGAAACACTGCTTTGGTTCGATATTGGTACTAACACTTCAGTCTTATGAAATCCCCTGATCCGTTTCTATGTGGCAATGCTCAGTTTCAGTGGCATGGAAATGAATGTGCTACCAACATCTTTATTTGGCTGGAAGGACGTAAGATGACAGGAGAGCTCTGCCTATTTGTGAGGTCCAATATGAGTTTTGCAAAATGAGAAAAAGATGCAAAGGGAGACTTTTGCCACTCTGCAGGAAAAGATACAAAAGTAGGTCATAAAATAGAGAAACTCCCCTATGGAAGAAAAACTGCAGTTTTTCCAATTTAGAGTAAAGGTGGGTAAGAGGAATTAAGGTTGAATTATAGAAAATCATGCAGGTAACAAACAAAAATGATGGGGGGGAGTATTCTATGCTTTTCACAATAATAAAGTTCAGTCATGCATTATCAATTCAAAAATTATAGCCTGGGGCTATAAGAGAATAACAAAATAACAGACTTGGAAGGGACCATGGAGGTCTTCTAGTCCAACCCCCTGTTCAAGCATTAGACCTTATTATACCATGTTTGTTTATACCATGTTTGGCAGGAGACCAAAGGCTGCAATAGGTAGGAAAACCTGCAAAATGGCTAGACATTTACTAGTTTGAACAGTGGAAGGATTTTTTTTTTTTACTGTGAGAAATCTATTTTAGATATTGCCCATAATTTGATAATTTTTCTGAATCTTGGTGGAAATACATTCAGTAGCTACAGTCAGGCCAGTTCAGTCTTTGGCGAGTTTTACAGGAGACAGGAAGGACAGAAATGCTAATTGTCCAGGAATTAAAATACAATTCTTTAATGGAGCAGGATTCTGGTGGTACAGACTTGCTGAGGTAGAGAGAAAGAGGCTTTGAAAAATGCCCCTTTTAAATCTGCCTGTTTTATAGGGATGTCTGTCAAAATCAAGGGAATTACAAGATAATGCAGGCTTTTTCAATATTAGTAACTTTAAGTGGTGTGGACTTCAGCTCCCAGAATTCCTCAGCCAGCAAGCTAGCTGAGGAATTCTGGGAGTTGAAGTGCTCACCTCTTAAAGTTGCCAGGGTTGAGAAATCCTGGGAGACTATAAAATTTGTTAGGAGACTTTATGTCAATCAGTGATGTCTCCACAACATATCTGTGAACATAATAATAATAAAGTTGGAAGGGACCTTGGAGGTCATCTAGCCCAACCCCCTGCTCAGGCAGGAAACCCTATACCATTTCAGACAAATGGCTGTCCAGTCTCTTCTTAAAAACTTCCAGTGTTGGAGCATTCACCACTTCTGGAGGCAGGTTGTTCCACTGGTTAATTGTTCTAACTGTCAGGAAGTTTCTCCTTAGTTCTAGGTTGCTTCTCTCCTTGATTAGTTTCCATCTGTTGCTTCTTGTCCTGCCTTCAGGAGCCTTGGAAAATAGCTTGATTCCCTCTTCTTTGTGGCAGCCCCTGAGATATTGGAAGACTGCTATCATGTGCTGGGCTTTTTCAATCCCTTTCATTAAGAATATTCAAATCCTTCTGGGTAGTCATTTGATACCCCTGGCCAACTGTCTTTTTATAGTTTGAGTGCTCTTACCAGCTTGCATAACAGGTGGTAGTCAACTGGTTAAGCTTTTCCAAGTAGCAAAGGTTGTTGATTTCTGTCTTTCATTGTGCAGCTTTTAAAGGGCCAGGCTCTGAGAAAGAAATTC